CTGTAACAGGCATTTTGCCCTCCGCGTGAGGACCTTCCTCTTACACAGCCCAAGCTATAAAGATCCAGCAAGCTGCCACCTACAGTCACATACATGTCTGTCCTCAACAAACAGCATTTGTATTCCCTAAGCACCTCTGCTGGAAAATGACAGACGTATATCATGCTTCTGGCATGGAACTACCAAATAGTCTCTTCTTGAAGGGACGCTAGGCATTGCGATACCTAAGACCGCACCTTCTCAAGGGCTCTGCAACTTTCTCTCCTGTGATTTAAGAAATCTATGCCCTTGACTCCCTGAACAAAGCATGAAAGGGGCAATTACCCAGCAAATTTCCGCATTCTCAGAGAAAGTCCTAAACAATGAAAGTTCAAAATCCTAATCAACATAACTGGGAACACTCTATGCCTTACTAAGAAAGGATAAGACTCACAACAATTCTGTAAAAAAGTAGCAGTAGCCAAGAACATGTTGCTGGATGTATCCAGTTTTTATCACTTGACCAGACTTACATAAACTAGAAAGTGATTTGGCTATTTTGCATGCCAAATCCCATCCTGCGTATGCTCAGGGTGTTCCTCCCTCCACAACCACAGGTTGAATTAGCTCCTGCTACTCTGAGGTTTGCTAGGATGAGAAGAGTCTGTAGGGAGGAGTTATCTGGTAAAATTCAACTGGAGATAGAAAGGATACAGGAACAGCCTACTGTTCACTTTAGATGAAAAGACTGAAAAAGAGAGTAAACTTGAACTGCCAATAATACTTGTATAAACTGTAATGCTCATGTATTCCAAAGCTATACATCTTAACATAATATGTTTTTATCGCGAACACAAAGCCAGAATTCGTATCATAAATCAGTCATGCCCTTAGTCAAATTATTGTGTAATGATGCAGCTTTGGTAACCACGCCTTCCTAATGCCCACTACTTAAAAACGACCTGCCAGGTAACATTTTTTCCTTCCAAATGTGTTATTTCCTCTCCAATTAAAAAAAAAAAAAACCCAAACCAAAACCAACACACACAAAAAACCAGCAGCAACAACTACAACATCAACAACAAAAACAAAAGAAACAACATAGCAGGAACAATACACATAATCAGAAATTTTTAATTATACATCAAGAATAGATTTCAATTCTCAAAAGTTAGAAACAGCAGGGAGATAACGAAGTTTATACCAGACAAAATTTTTTAGGATTCATATAAAATAGTTAATAATGATTTGTAAAATACTGAGAGGCTTGGCAATAAAGTAGCTAATGAAATTAACATGTGATAAAGAGAAAATAATGCACATTAAAAAAAAACACCATAGCCTGCACATGCTCAGAGATGTGCTTATTAGAAAGCATTGCCATTTATCAGTAAGAAGCTGAAGACTTGGTTGTTATTTTTTTTTAAAATGACAGCCCAGCACCTGATCATGGTCAAACAAACCCAGTGGAACATCAGGGATCATTACAAAAGGCATGGAGTACATGCTGGATAATACACTTGTGTGTACAGTTTGTGTACCATTGCCTTTAAAATGTCTCAAAGATGCTTGCACTGGTCAGATTGCCAGAAAAACATCAAAAGTGTTTGTTTCTCAAGTGGCAGCATCCAACTCAGAAAATAAACCTACCATCCATTTTTGTTAATTTGATATTGGACTTAATCAAATATTCATAGGCTGCTGCTTTGTAAAAAGCTTTACACCCCTTGTTACTTCTGTTGGCATTGTTCTCATCTGTGGCTTGTGCTACCCGCAGTGCTGATGCAAGTCTCGGTGCTTGAAACATCAGACCAAGATCAGCTGAAACTTTCAAAGCACAGTGAATATTGCCTGAGTGCCTGTAACCCACAGCAAGAAGCTCCCCTTCAAAGGACTGTCACAACAGTGGCAGTTTGGGGTTCAGTCTTGTCTGATGTCACCTACTTAAAGAAGCAGCATAAGGCCTCTCATTTTTAAGTTAGGCACATGCTTAAATGCTTTGGTGAATGAAGGTCAGCATGCTCAATACTTGGAAGGATCAAGTCTAAAATTTGGCTTTACATTTGAAGGAATAACTCCAAGGGTGTTTTTCTAACCTCCCAATCTAATCCTAGGAATGTCTGTTGTACCAGACATGGCATATCATAAAGGTTTTATGATGATTACTTTGGAATGACCTGCACACTCTGTCTCCTGGTTTTGCTCTACGGAAATAATCTTCCCACTGGAGGTTTATGCCAAGAAGCCTGTCTACCGTGCCATCACCCAGCCAGCACTAAGCTGGGAAACAGGCTGAGTAGCAGGATAAGGACTTCAAAGCTTCTGGTGAAGGTGGCCTGTTTCACTGCTACATTCTCAAGCAGATGGACTGGAACAACTAAAAAGAAAGTTAATGTATCTACCAAAACGCTAAATATAAAACTTGGAAACTTTCCTGCCTATTTCCTCCCATTTCAAAACACAGTGAGTTAACTAGCCCTGACTCTGGCAGCAGTCCATTTAAATGGCACAGGTTTGCCTACCTAACAAAGCCCTTTTGTTTCCTACAGCTGTGAAACTCTGGTGCACTGTAACTTTTCACGTTTCCCAGGTTACCTTGGCACCAAACTGTGACTAAATGTCTGCAAAAGACTCTTAACTCCAGCTTTGAAGGAATATAATATCCACAAGGAAGAATGATGGTTTTCAGTAAGTGCCCCGTGGTAGCGAGAACAATGCTGAAAATCAGCTCTCCTTCAAATATTCACGAAGCTTCTGGAAGACCTGTGGCTTAATAAAGAACTGCACTCTCTGCTCTGTTACAGGCTGCATCACATTTCTCTTCTTCACGTCTTTTTGTCTCCCTTCCTTATGTCATACCTGTTCAGATCTATCATCAGATGCAAAGGGAGGAAGGGGCTGTGACATCTCTTTTCAATAGAATTAATTGTAAGGACCTCCTGTATTTGAAGAAACTTCAAATTCTAGAGTTGATTTTCTGCTCTTTGTTAAGAAATGGATCTTTTGTTATTGATTCCATGAGGAAAGGAAGATTCCAAGCACGTACACATATGGTGTTAATAAGACACCTTAAAGTAAAACAGAATATAACTTAAGTGAGGTAAATACTTCAGGGAAATATCCTTCCCTTTTTACTGGGGCTGCATAAAGTGGGAGTAAGTCAGTGTCATACAGATTAAACAGGTAGGAAACACTTGCAAGTGCTGGAGCACTGGTTTATGGTAAATTTCCCAAAGTTCCCTCCATGCCTTATACAGTAGGGAATAATAGTCAGGACAGGGTTTAATTTCCAACAGCTGTAATAAAAGGGCTTGAAAAGTTATTGCACTGACACCTAAGGGTCCTCTGCACTGGATCCAAATATGAAGCAGTTCCAACGTAGAAGCTGAACACGGATGTGCTACACTCAACCGAAGATACACCTACTGTGACAAATACCCTATCAGCAGGGTTTTCTGTATGTTTGGTTTGGGTTTTGTTTTTTCCTGAGACATTCAAAATCTTTTCCTGAAATACTTAAGAAATCCTAGGGCAACAACTCACTGACAGTGAACTCCAAATAGATACATTGTAGCATCACATCTGGGAGAAATATAAATTGAAGAAAGACCAGGAAGAGCACATGGATATCTATAGTTATGTACCATTCAAAGAGTAATTTGACAAGACATAATAAAGTGTCCTGGTTTTGGCTAGGATAAAGATAATTTTCCTCCTAGTAGCTGGTATAGTGCTGTGCTTTGGATTTGGCATGAGAATCACATGATGCACACTGATGGTTTGGTTGTTGCTAAGCAGTGCTTGTACTGAGTCAAGGACTTTTCAGCTTCCCATGCTGAAAAGTGAGGAATGCACAAGATACTGGGAAGAAGCATAGCTGGGACAGCTGTCCCACACTGGCCAACGGGAATATTCCATACCATATGACATCATGCTCAGTATATAAACCAGGAGAAGTTGGCAAGGGGGTAGCAACCACTGCTCAGGAAGGGCTGGGAATCATTCAGCAGGTGATGAGTGGTTGCATCACTTGTTTTTCTTGGGTTTTCTTTCTCTCTCTCTCTCTTTGTTGTTTTACTTCTAATTAAATTATTATTATTATCATTATAATATTTTATTACAATCATTAAATTGTTTCCTTCTCAACCCACGAGCTTTCTTACTTCTACCCTTCCAGTTGTCTTCCCCATCTCACTGGGGTGGGGAGAGTGAG